TACGTGCTGCGATGCCTCAGAGGCCCCTCACAGCCTTTGACCGGCATTCCTGAGTTGATCCACACCAACCTGACCTGGAGGGGGTGATGAGCACAGTAAGGGGTGTGGTTGCTGCAGGGGTCCAGACGCTGAAGTGGCCATGACTGGAGAGGCGTAGAGGGCTTCCTGGAGGAAGGGACATCTGAGTGGCATCTTGAGGAAGAGTAGGAGTCCATCGTACACGGAGACGGTGAAGAGACTCTGGTTGGCGGCATGGCTCGAACAGAGGCCTGGGGGTTTACTAGGGAACTGAGTGTGAAGAGGTGGTGGGGAGAGGAGGCTGCAGGCAGACACAGGAAGAGTTTACCTGAAGGCCCAGGGGGCTCAGCAAGGCTTTGATCCAGGGGAGGGATGCGCTGAGATTTGTGTTTTTAAAAAAATCTTTATTGACTAGAGTATTTACAGATGGCCCCCTTTATCCCCCAATTGCCCCCCTCCACCCAGTTTCCACCCCCCACACCTTCACCACCCTATTGTCTGTGTCCATGGCTTATGCACATATATATATATAAAAGCCCTGTGACTGGAATGGTGGAATGACCAGAATGACCAGTGGCTATGATGCGCACTGCGGCAGCCAGCCAGCCCGATCTGGACCCCTATCGGCCCCCAACACTCCGATCGGGGGCCAGACCAGCTGGCCAACCACTTGTGGTCCCTCTTCCCCACCAGCCCAGCCTAATGGGCCCCCATCCCCATCCATGACCCCACCCATGCATGAATTTGTGCACCTCTAGTATGCATATAAGATCTTCGCTCCCTCCTTCCTTCTGAGATTGGTCAGTCTATTTTGTGTTTCCATGCTTCTGGTTCTATTTTATTCATCAGTTTATTTTGTTCATTAGATCCCTTGTTCATTTATTTTTATTTTTAGATTTAATTGCTGATAAGTATGTATTTATTGCCATTTTATTGTTCATGTTTTTTACCTTTATCTTCTCCTTCACCTTCACCTTTCCCTTCCCCTCCCCCTTCCTGTTCCTTTTTTCCTTCCTCTTCATAAAGAATACTCTTTAACATTTCATGTAATACTGGTTTGGTTGTGATGAACTCCTTTAGCTTTTTCTTATCTGTGAAGCTCTTTATCTGATCTTCAATTCTAAATGATAGCTTTGCTGGGTAATCTTGATTGTAGGTCCTTGCTATTCATCCCTTGAATATTTCTTGCCACTCCCTTCTGGCCTGCATAGTTTCTGTTGAGAAATCAGCTGACAGTTGTATGGGCACTCCCTTGTAGATAGCTGCTTTACTCTTGTTGCTTTTAAGATTCTCTGTTTGTCTTTAATCCTTGGAATTTTAATTATATGTCTTGGTGTGGGCATTTCTGGGTTCATCTTGTTTGGGATTCTCTGCATTTCCTGGACTTGTAAGTCTATTTCTTTGACTAGGCAGGGGAAGTTTTCTGTCACTTTTTCTTCAAAAAGGTTTTCAGTGTCTTGCTCTCTCTTCTCCTTCTGACACTCCCATGATGAGAATATTGGTACACTTGAAGTTGTCCTACAGGCTTCTTACACTAACTTCATATGTTTTCTTCTTTTTGCTCTTCTGATTGGGTATTTTTTTCTTCCTCATATTTCAAATTGTTGAGTTGATTCTCAGACTCCTTTACTCTACTGTTGAATTGCTGTGAATTATTCTTTATTTCCGTTAGTGTATGCTTAAATTCTGACTGGTCCTTTGTCATACCTTTGAAATTCTCACTAAAAATCTTATTAAGTATCTTGAAGCTCTCATTAAGATCCTTGAGCAGCCTGATAATCACTGTTTTGAACTTTGTATCCAGTAGTTCTCTTACTTCCACTTCATTAGGTTCTTTTTCTGGAAGTTTCTTCTATTCTTTCATTTATGACATGTTTTTTGGCTCTACATTTTGGCTGCTTCCCTGTGTTTCTTTCTATGTATTGGGTAGAGCTGCTATGTCTCCTGGAGTTGGTAGTGTGGCCTTGTGTAATAGGTGTCCTGCAGAGCTCAGTGGCTCAGCCTCCCCAGTCACCTGAACTGGGCACTCTCGGTGTGCCCCTATGTGGGCTGTGTGCACAATCTTGTTGTAGTTGAGCCTTGATTGCTGTTGGCATGAGTGGGAGGAATTGACCTCCAGGCCAAGTGGCTGTGAGGATCAGCTGAGACTGAAAGAGCTGCTGTGCAGGAGACACCCTATGGTTAGGACTTGCTTCAGTGAGTCTTCGGTGCTCTCTGAGTCTGCCCCTTCAGTGTGTCACTTGTGAATGTGTAAAGTTGTAATCTGGTATAGTCAGAAGCTGTCCACTGGGTGCATGGCTCTGGGGCCTCTGGGGAGATACAAAGTCAGCCACTGCGGGGGACCACTTGACAGGAGCTACAGAGTAGGCTTGGAAATGTTCAGGCAAGGCCCCAGGCTCTGAAGCAAGGCAGGCGTTGCTAGTACCAGGTCTTGGGCCTCTTATTGATAGGCACACTGACACCAGCTGTTGCTTGTTTGAGAGATTTTAGGAGAGTCTCGAGATTTGGTTTTGAGAAAAGGTCCTGGCTGTCAGATGGACAGTGACCTGTGGTGGGAGCAAGGCTGTGTGGAAGTTGCTCAGGACCAACCCAGAATGGAAGGAAGTTTGGTACAGAGCAGCCAGCTGGGAGAGGCGGTGCTGGTTAGGTCTTTGGTGAGGAAGCGATGGCCATTGCAGCTGATCAGATGTGTGGGAGACTCAGAAGGAGGAAGGTGACTCAAAGGTGCAGCTCAGGTGACTGGGGCCAGGCAAGGGAGCAGAGAGGGCGGAGCAGGCCCAGGCCGTTCAGACAGCCAGAATCTGAAAGAACAGATTTTACAAGGAGTCTTGAAGGGTCAGGTAGTGATCCCAGAATCTTGAGGCCAAAGGGAACGCCATCACTTACCAGAATCCTCAGAAGATGTCTCTGTCCCCATCTGCCATGGGTGTCTGGACGGGGAGTTTGAAGGTGTCGAAAGCGGCCAGGCTGGTGTGTGGGATGTGCTGTTCACTTGGCCAGCCACAGCCCTGGAAGCCTTCTTGCATGCACCACACCATGCCCTCGTGCCCTCCAACTGTTACTTAGAGAGACACTGAGTAGGGTACAGATTTGAGATTCTGGGTCCTACAGATGATTTAGCCTTGAGGCCCCAGGGGTGGACGTGACCACTGCCTTCCGTCCTGCCACACTGTGGTCCAGAAGCCCTCTGCCAGGGCGGTCCCTTCCACGGGCTGTGGACCCACCCGCCTCCCTCCTGGGTCAGCCGCCACGGCCGCCTGAACTCCTTCCAGTTGTCTCCCATTTTCTTCGTTTCTGTTATGGCAAAGCTTCCTGAGAGATGGCTCCTGTTTCCACACTCATCCCAGCCTCTTCCTGACCCCACCAGGCCCTGGTCACCCCGTGCTGCTGAACCTGCAGCGCTGGACCTCATCTTCTTAGTCTCTCATTTTCTGTGGCCGAGCTGATCGTCCCTTCCTCTTCCTGAAGACATTTCTCCTATGTTTGGGCTTTTTCCTCCTTCCCTCCCCTCACTGACCATTGCTGCTCACTCTCCTTGGCTGGTTTCTGATCAGGAAGCATTGGCCTGCCCTCGGCCCACCATATTCCCATCTCTAGCTTCCCCCTCCCCCCTGAGCTCCAGCCTGAATCTCCAGCAGTTTCTGTGGGTCTCAGTAGGCATCTCAGAGGTTCATGGCCCAGCCGCGCCCCTGACCTCTGCCCCAGACCTGTTTCCCTCCCGGTGCTCCATCTCAGCAAATGGCACCGCTGCTCATTCATCCAGCTGCTCTGTCAAAACTGGAGCCATCTTTGACATCCCACTTCTTTTTGAAAGATGGCTTTCACATTTCCATTCTGGAGTATCTGATACACACACTGAGTCAGCCGCATGTGCGAGTGATGAGGCGTATTAGTGAGGCACTTGCTGTGACCCACCGCCAGCAGAGAGCGTCCTGTGCCTGCACCCCTGGGTGCTCCTCCCTAGCCACGACCGACCCCTCTCTCCATCAGTGCCGCACCCAAGCCTTCCCAGGCCCTGCTGGCTCTGCCTGCAGAGCACACCCGCGGCCCGCCACCTCCCTACAACCCAGGCCCCTCGTAGCTCCCAGGTCCCTGCAGTAGTGCCCCTTCCTCCCAGACTTGCTCTCCACACGACAGCAGAACGACCCCTTTCATGATGAGTCACTTCTGTCCCCCCTCCAGGGCCTGTGCCCACCTCCCTGCTGCTGCTCACTCAGACCAGTCCCTCCCACCAGACCCTTGGTTCTCGCCTCTGCCCTCTGGTTGTCCTGAGCTCCTTCTGACCGCACAGCGGCAAGCCCCTCACACCCTGCCCCCTCCTGCCACTCTGCTTTCTCTTCCCAGGCCCCTCCTCTAACCGGAGCTAAATACACACGGACTCCCCTTACTTACTGTTGTCTCTGAAGTAGAACATAAACTCCGTGGACTGTGTCTTCAGCACCTGGCACGATGCCAGCTGCATGGCAGGGGCTTAAAAATCTATTGACTGAGCGTGTGTGAGTGAATAAGTGATGGCAAGCGTGAGGATTGAGTGAGTGACGGACATGCACGTGAGTAAATGGAAGGTGGATCCTGGTGAGCAGGAAAGGGGCAGGAAACGAGGGCCTTTTTTCCTGGACCCCCACGTTGTCGTTGCTGGATTCATTTTCTTTCCTGCGATGCTGAGGTGGAGGAGACTGTGATGCTGACTCTGTACCTCCGTGTGGTTCTCCTGCTGCTCCCCACGCGGCGGCAGGAACCGACTTGTTGCTCAGGTTTTAAAATCTGGGGTAAAAATAACGAAAGCGTGCACCTGTTGTCCGCGAGGTCATTCAAAGACCAGATGAGTCTCAGAACTAATAATCCTCACAATTAATTAAACCCTCCCTCCCAATTATGGGAGAATTGAGTTGGTGGCTGTAGCGTGCGTGGCAGCGGGAATCTGGGTCGGCGTTCCCGGCTGGGTCTGGGGCAGCATTGGTGAGCGTCTTTGTCTTCCTTAGGGCTGCCGCCGGGACCATGAGCAGCTAAGATGGACACGTCCGCCCCCGCCTCCGCCGCGGAGAAGAAAGAAGGCAAAAGTGCGATCCCGGAGGGGGCGGCCAGGAAGACCTCGGCACTGGCAGTGGCTGCGACGGCGGCGGCAGCAGCAGCTGCCCAAGGAGGTACTGTCTGTTTTGCACACTCGGTGGGCAGCAGGGGTCTCTTTCATTGGCCCGTTAGGGTTTAATTGGACGGGTGGCCCACGCCACCGGGCAGCACGCTGGGCTTATGGAGGGTGACGCGGAGGGCGCCCTGCTCCCGGATCCCGGGCCTGTGACCGTGCCTGCAGGCTCTCCCAGAGGTCCGGGTGCCCGGTCTGCGGCAGGGGGACCGGGCGGCTCAGACTCCGGAGGGAGAGCCTGCGGACTCGGAGGGGAGGGCAGGGAACGGAGGCGGGGGCTGCTGGGCGGCCCCGGGGTGTGTTCGCTGGCGCATTTGAGACGTGCCAGACATGGCCGCTGCTGCTGGCCCGCAGGGACTGTTTTAGAAGTAATTGTCTCTTGATCCCTTCTGGCTGTAATTAGAGGGTCAGGTACAGAATTTAGTATCCTTAGGTGAATTTCGGGCCAACTTAATTATAGCAGAAGGACTGCGAGCCACAGCCTCTCATCTTACCGCCCCGGAGAGAGCTCTGCTTTCCGCTGGCCGTGCCAGCGCCCCGGTGGGAAAGTTTGGCGGGAAGGCGAGACCTCCCCTTGTGTCTGCGCAGTCCATCTGGAGGCCACAAGACTATTTCTGTCTCCGAGGAATGGAGAGGCTTAGATTTCTTTTCTTCCCCTTTTATTCAAGTGCGCTTAGTCACGCCCTGTTGCTCTTGCTGCTCAAGCACAGCTCGCAGCAGCGGGAAATTCGCCTCGGCCAGCGGGCGGGTGGGGTGTGGGCGTCGCCCCTCACTTTGATGTGAGCACAGATGGGTCCCTGTCGGAGTGCAGGCCCCGGCCAGTACATTGGGCAGCACGGGGGTCTGCATTCCTCACCAGCGCTGGGATGGCGTGAACAGGGCGAGGGTCTGAGCTTCTAACCACCTGAGATGGTGTGGGGACTGCTGTCCACGGGTCGTGTCGGCGCAGCTCGGAGTTGGAGCCTGGGGAATCGAAGGACACTGGGAGCGGTTGAGCCGGTGTCCAGGGAGGACTCTCATGTGCGTGGTGTCCAGGAGGCAGACGTGAGGGGAGGGACAGCAGGCCAGCGCCAAGAGCCTGGCGGTGGATTGGCGGCTGGCCTCCTGTCCCGGCCTGGCTGTGTCTGCACCTGGCCTGCTCCCTCCTCTGGGAGGGTCAGGGCCTGCCCTCCTGTGGTGACTCCAGCTGTCCCTCTGCCTGATGCACGGCCCAGGCGCCTGAAGCGGAGGGAGGGAGCTCCAGCAAGCGGGCTCCGTGTCTGCTGGGCCCCAGCTGCTTCTTCCTTGCCAGGGCTCAGTGGCTTGTGAACTGCCCCCACGCCATTCACCACGTGTCATAGTGCAGGGGACAGCCTCAGGCTGTAAGTGGGCAGTAGCTGGGGAAGCCCCTCTGGCATCAGACCTGCTGTCACCAGTGGTGTAGTAACAACAGGAGCTTGAGGGTTCTAACCTGAGGCGGGCAGGCAGCTGCCGATAGCTTGGAGCAGCGGCTCTTCCTGGCTTCTACCTGTTCCACCCCACCTACCCTTACCCCAGGGGCCGGCATTGCCACCCCCAGAGGCCCCTGTCCCCTTATTGCCCAGGGGAGCCCTCCCTCGGATGAGTTTTCAGCCCAGTTGCCCTGGGCAGGTGGCTTGTGTCATTGGAGCCAGCCCACCACTGGGCTCCCCCTGCCCCTCTCGGAGCAGCCGGCCCGGGAAGGGCCCTCCCAGAGGCAGGGAGGAGCGGCTGTTCCTGCATGGAGCCAGCAGGGCATCTGGGAGCAGGTCCTGGTGCCGGGGGACCATGATGCCCACCTTCTGTGGATGGTGTGAGGAGGGGACGGTGTGAGGAGCGCCTGGCGAAGGGGCCCAGGGCCCTGGCTGCGGTTCTAGGTCCGCACCATCCCTGGGTCCCAGTGTGGCAGGCCGTTCCCTTCTCTGGGCCTCCTTCTCCTGTTCAGGGCACGGACCGATGTCTTTGTGGGCTCGTGACCTTGGAGCTTTATCACGTCCTCCCAGGGGTGGCCGAGGTGCTGAGTGACTCTGGCATCCGGAGCCTCACTCGGGCCCCTTGATAGCCAGCGGATCACAGCGCAGAGGGCATGAGGAGGAGCGGGACGGTCTGCGGGAGCAGAGGGGGCGGAAGGGAGGCGGTGCCCTCAGTGGCAGAGCTTGGAAACCCCGTATGGAGCTCCTGGGTGTGAGGCTGGAGCCAGGCTCCTTCACCAGCAGTTGGCGCCTCCCTGTTGCCACCTCTCCGTTGTTCGGAGCGGCTGACGTGAGGTGGGAGGGACTTGCTCAGGGCCACCGGCCGCTCCAGCGGAGAGCGGGGTCTGGGGCTCAGGGCACAGGGTGGGAGTCTCCTTCCGGTATGAGCTTTCAGCCTCCCCGGGTGTAAAGCATGAAACACACATGCAGCTGCCCTATAGTTACAGCTGACACATACTGTGCTTCCGCCTGCCTGGCACGGGCACCTTGTGGGTAGTAGCTGCCCCTGCCGTGCAGCGCAGGGAAGTGGTTGGAAGCAACCCAGACTCCGCAGCCAGGTCAGGTCGCCTGACCCTGGGCAGTATGTGCCTCAGTTTTTTCATCTATAGAATGGACGTAATAATAGCACCTACTTCACAGTGGTGTCAGGATTACTCGAGTGGCACTTGTAGAGTGCTGGGCACATCAGCTCTGTATGAGGTCCAACGTACCTATTAGCTTTCACCAGTTTTTTGCCTCTGGCCTTGGGCTGTGCCTTAGAAAGTCTGCCCTCCATGGCCCCTTACCAGCTGACCCAGTGAGGCCAGACAGGTGGTGGGAGGCTCTGGTTTCTGGTGTCTCCCACTCGGGCGTGGTGGAGGGAGTACGGGGCAGGAGTCCTTGGCGCCAGGCCCAGGCTGCCCCGGACTCATCCTTCCCCGAACCCGGAGGGCGCCCAGCCCAGCGGTCTGGAGCTGGCCTCGGGGAAGTCTCAGGAGACGGCTGTAACAAGCGCAGATTCCGGGCCACCCAGGCCCGCGGAAGCAGGACCTCCGGGCCGGGGCCTGGCCATGTGCATGTTTGACGGGCTTCCCACTTCCCAGGTGCAGCTGGACAGGATCCCGGGAAGTGGCGTGGCCCTCACGTTCACATGCTGAGCACAGCGTGACTCGGCAGAGAGCTCCCTCGCCGCGGGAGGCCTCTGTGCCACCGGCACCGGCACCGGCACCACCACTGTTTGTTTGGTCACTGGCTCCGCGGCTTCTTGGCACGTTTCTTTGAGGTGCATCTTAGCTCTGTAGTGAGGCATCATGTCTGTCTTGGAGTGTTTCTCAAGTTCAAACACCGGGATGCGTAAATAAGCCAGCCATGAGCATTCCGGCTGAGATGCCCGGGGCTAGAGGTCCCCCGAGGCATGTGGGCCTCACGGTGTCCCCACTGATCAGTGCCCGAGTCCCTGGTGTCCTTGCCCTCTGTTTCTGTGCCACACCCCGCCCCCACCGTGTGGGCAGAGCATCGTTTGTTCACCACTATGTATGCCCTGCCCGACAATGATTGTTGAACGAGGGGGTGAATCTGACCCTGTCATGCCAGGTGTGTGCCCGGTGGGCTGGTGCAGCCAGCTGCCTCTGCTGGCCCTGAGGTCTCCTGGCACAAGGGTCATTCGGTGCTGGCCTGCTCCTTGGGCCTTCGCCCCTGACGAGGCCCCGGGGACTTAGCAAGTGGGCCCGCCTCCGTGGCTCACCTGAGCTGCTGGGCCAGGGCCATGCGCTCTTGCCTTGGGCTGGAGGTGCACTCAGATGTGACTAAGTGGTCAATTATTCTTGTTTAAGTGATTTTCAGGATTGCTGCGCTGTGCTTCGGAGCTTGTTTTAACAGCCCAACCACACGGAACAGCCAGTGCCCGTTGGACTTTTTCTGGAGAGCAGAGCTCACACCCAGGAAGCGGGCACAGCGTGGTGGCCGGGCGTCTGCTCAGCGGGTCTGAGTGACTCCTGAAGGCACGCTGGCATGGCCTCGGTGCTGAGGGCGGGAGCGCCTGGGCACGGTGAGGGTGGCACTTCTCTCGGGCCATGGCAGAGGCAGCGGGGGACTGGCTCTTCCCGGCTCCCGGCGTGTTAGCTGCGGGTCCTGGGCAGGGCCACTCACACCTCTGCTCTGTGAAGTGGAGATAATTCTCGCCATGGGGAGATGGCATGAGGAGTGTCTAGAGGGGCTGGCAGAGCCCCTGCTTAGCTGTGCAGTAACTGTTAGTGACATAAGCCTGGCTGAGCATTCCTTCTGCAGATCCCGGCCTCACACAGGACGCTGAGCGCGCATGCCCTCTATGCCTCATTTCCCGTGCTTCATTGTGTTGTTCATGTCAAACTGTTACAGTGTTGGGGGGGAGGCTTGGAAGCTACTTCCAAGTACAGCAGTCCCCCTTGATCTGTGGTCTCACTTGTCCGCAGTCAACCTCAGTCCGAAAATATAAAATGGAAAATTCCAGGAATAAAAGAGCAAGCTTAAAATTGTGGCCATTCTGCATAGGGTGCTGTCCGGCTCCATCCCTCCCGGACACGAATCAAGCCTTTGTCCCGCTTCTGCACGCTCCACCTCTGCCCTTAGTTACCCCGTAGCCACCTGGGTTATCAGATTGGTTATTGGAGAGAGAGACCATATTTCAGGTACTTTTTAGTACAGAATATTGTTATAATTGTTCTGTTTTGTTATTAGTTACTGTGGTTAATCTTGTTGTGCCTAATTAAACTTTATCATAGGCTTAATTTATGTATGTGTGAGAAAAAGCACACTATTTCCAGGGTGGTTTCTGGTACCCACGTGGGTCTAGAGGGTAAGGGACGGCTGTGTAGAACGGGGAACGTTAGGCCATCTGTTCGAACCTGTTCATTTTACAGCCGTGGAAACGGAGGTCCAGAGGCGTGAAGCACGCACAGTCACCTGGTGACACCACTGGGACCAGAAACGGATTCCCTGGGACCTGCCCAGGGGGTGGGCACAGCTGCCCCTGACCCCGCCCCCCTCCAGGCCCAAACACCAGCTCCCCAAATTG